ATGCATATGTGTACTAGGAAGGAGAAGCGACCAGGCAACCAAGCTCCTCTACCCATGCTGACGTGGTGCTGGAGAAATAGAAACTTTGGGGGAAAATGCAAACTGAACTCAAGGCTTTCTGGAGGAAGGAAACTTAGCCCTGTGGGAACTGCACTGCAGGCCATCTCTCACACTCAGGCAGAGTGCAGGAGAGAGATAGGAGTGTAGCAGGGAGGTAAGAGTGTAGCAGGGAGATACTAATGAGGGAACTTCACTGTGAGCCATCCCTCACAATCCCCCTTGTCTTTTATCCTGTTCCCTCACCATTGTTGATAAACTTCTTCTATCATGTCTTCCTCGTTGCCTCCTTCACTTCCTTATTCTCTTTCTCCTCTGAATTCTTCCCCCTAACCATCACCCTTTTAAGTCAATATGGGAAGGATTGATCTATGCATTGACAAATCAAAGGGGCAGTCCCCTTTACAAATGCAGATACACAGACCCAAAAGAAAACAATAATGCAATTGTCCCTTTAAGATTCAAAAAGTCTTTTCCTAATACAGCTGTCTGGCAGGGAACATTGTCAATGAAGTCCTCTGGTCCTTGGTATTTGTTCCAGCCATCTCCAGCACAGGACTCAGCATCTTCTTCTTCTTGTCTTCTTGTAGGAACTCGCTTTCTGTCCATTCTCCTACAAAAGTGACCCTAGCACAATTTTAAGTTACCATTTCTAATCCTTATAACCTTGATCATTTTTACCAACTCAAAATTGGAACCATGGCCAGTAGTCATGTTTAAGAAATTCACATCAGAATCCAGTGTCTTCTACTTTACATTAATCCATTATTAATTTCCTCACCAGGAGGATGAGATTTCACTAAGCAATTAATAACAGGCACCAGTACATACATAAATATATTAAATAATCAATTTTGATACAGTACATATAAAATCTTAAAGTTTTAGTCATGCCGTGTTTCTTTGGTGGCGTTTACAAAATAAACCACAAGCACTCATTTTTTTGGACATTATTAATTGTAACAAAACTTTAGACAAATATGATAGTAACCAAATAACAAAAATAACATTCTCACAAGCCCCTGTCCTAATTGTCTCCATACTATTACCAAGAATTAAAAGACCTTAACTCATACAGAACACACACAGGAACACTAGTCCCAGCTCTATAGTAACCTAAGATGTTCCATAATCAATTATTTTAGTAAATTTGTTACTGTACTTACAAACCCTTCTGATTATAGAAACTTGCCACTAAGAGATTAGAGACTTAAAGCAAGGGAACAATATTTCCCCAACTTCCTGTCAACTCCAGGCAGAGTGTTATGTGAAACTGCAAACTGCATTGAGCCAGACTTAAAGTCTGCCAAGTTTCAGTTAACGAATCAAGTCAAGACAGTCTCACCTCAGCACATGCAGAACAGTTGCCCTCTCAACCTTCCCAAGAAAGCATACCTGCAGTTCATATTTGCCCCTCACACGGCTGCTGGCATCATGGATCAGTGGCTCAGACAGCTGGAGTTAGACTCAGAAATAGTTAGTCATTAGTCCCATTATGTCTTCGAATAGCAAGTTCCAATAATCAGTTTAAGATATGACTATAATCTCACATTACCTAAGGAACATCTCCAAAGAGAGCCCTAAATAACTTGCATTCATTTCTACCCTTGTTCATAAAACCCTACTAAGCTGGCGCAAAAGTCCTTAAGTAACACAAATTCCAGAGTATTATCAAGAAACTAAATTCCTAGTTATCACAGAATCCATAAATATCACAAAGTTCTTTAGTCAAAAGGTGTTGTAATAGAATCTCACATTGGGAACAGTCAGAGACTGATTACAGGAAAAATACTACTGCTCTTAGAATCCTTTTAAACAAAGGGAACATCTTAAGGTGAGTCTTAAACAGTTTGCATAAATTTCTGCACATGTTCAAGTTCTAGATAAAAATATTGTTAGATTTCCCAGTAAGATAACACAAAAGAGCTCATATCTTGTACTGACTACTGGCTCTCATCATAGAAACTTACTATAGAAGGCAAAAGAGCAGGGACATGTGACATACCAAATATGACAGGATAAAACATCCTTAGCTTTGTTTAAATTCAGATAGAGTTACAGTTCTCCAATCATGCAGTATCTGTTTCTCCTCATAGCCAGACTCAGGAATAGTCAGGTGGGAAACATTCCTTTCCAAAGGAACATAATGGGGAAACTGAGCCAGGAGGATCCCATCCTAGATTGAGGCTAAGATCGTCCCCTCGGCTTTACAGTACAGGATCACATTCCCTTTGAGTGGCATTTCTCTCAGATACTGATTTAATGCAGACAAGTATACCCAAATTCAAACTCAAAAAAAAATTAGTTATAGTCCCAAGAGCCTTTTACCTCAAACAGCAAGTTTCACTAATCACCGCTTAAAGCCAGATACAGTTAATTTTACTCTCATGGAGTTGCAACAAGCAATAAAGATTTACCAGGACTCACATACATAAGAGATTTCACTTTACCTCTTTCCTTCTCAAATTCAAACTTGTCCTGGTGTAAAAGCCAATCATTAGAAATCATTTCTATACACTTGCAAATTCTTAGCATGCCAAGTTCATTGTTTAGGAACTGCAGAATCCTAACAAGTTCTTTTCTCAGGGCAGATGACCTTGCCCACACAGATGGTTTCTAGGGACCTTGGTAAGTTTACAAAATAAGGAGAATTGACATGGACCTCAGAGAGGGCTGATACTGGTGCCCTTGAATGGGCAGAACCAAGCTGATAAGGCTTTACACAGTCCCCTTCTTTTCACATACAGTAATTAATTAACCCTTTTAGGTTTTAGCATTAAAACAGTAACCCCAAATAACTTAGTTAACAATCTCACAAATTTCATAAATGATAGTAAAATGATTTTAACTGAAAATTCCCTTTAAATAAAGACAAAATTTGGAAATTTTATGTTTTCTTAAATTACAATACTTCAAAATGTTATAGTACATTGTTAAAGAGAATGATTTAAAAGTTTCCTAACCCATTCATCATTTTTTTTACAGTACAGTTCTTAACGTAACAACACTTAGATTATAAGAGAAATTGCTTTTCCGACAATACAGATGATACAGTTGTTTCCCAAATTTTGCAATAAAGGAAAATTTTAGAAATACAACAATACCATAAACAACTATCATCTATTTAAACTTTAAAACCAAAACTAATTAATTACCACTCTGGTGGCTCTACAAGAATTGGATGTGTTCCCAAATTGCCTTAGACAGAGAATCATTCATTTCATCACCATTGACATAAACTTCACACAGAAGAAAATCCACATAAAGTTAATGAATGTGAAGCAATTATATTTAACTAAAAACAGTTTACATTCAGATAGCATTTGTTTTATTGCCAAGCATTGTGCCAAGCACCTTTACAATCATGTGATCTTTGTAATATCCTTGGGAATGAATTCCACCACCATCCTCTTACTGAACAGTAAACTAAAGTCAATAGAACTTTCTTGGGGCCATATAGTTAATAAATTTCTTAATGCCAAATAGCAATATGTACTTTTCAAATTATACAACTATACATTTCTCAGTTCAGTACCCTTGTCCCTTTATAAAGGAATATTATCCACAAATTCATATATTGCTTCAATATTTCAGTTCCGTATTCATGTCCACATTGTCTTGCAAAAGTTTTACAAACATTATGGAATCACCTGTTGTAATCAAGTCAGTTTAAAATGTGCTGGGCCAGTGATCTAACTACTTCTTTTTGGCCCAGGAGAAAGAAAAGCAAGCTTAAAGAATTTGAATCGATGCTGACAAAGTACGATCAGCTTTCCCTCCAGGAAGACACCTCTGGAGCTTGATAATTAATTGAACAGTAATAATCATAACTCACAATAACCAATATCTTTACCATAGCCAGTATCCATATTAGATTTAATGGAACCCACCCAAAAGGTGGGTGGACATAATTCCTTCCATCTCTCCATAACTTTGTCTATTGGTTTTTAAATTAGTCTATCAGCCTTTCACTCTAAGCTGCCTGCTCAAGATTTTTGTTTACTACTTACTTTAGTGCCAAATAGTAAAATAAATTCTAACATATCTTAAGAATTGAATTAGGAGTGACACATTGCATTTTTCATACTTTTTTAAAAAATACAACCAGAATGAATTCAATTTCTTTCTGGTTGGGTCCTATTACACAAAAACTTTTCTCTTTTAGGTAAGGCAGAGAACAGTTAAAGGCTTATTTAGCCTGCCTCCCTTTGATCTGAGGGGGAAAGATTCACCCTCCTTTCCTCCTTATCTTTCTCTCTTCTACATTCAACAACTTGGTCAAAGTTGGAATGTGGGAGAGAGGAAGAGAATATTTTCCAACAACTCTTCAAGAGTTTCTAAACCTTTTACTTTCCAAACCTCTATTCATGCTGTACAAATAAATTATGCCTTCCTTAAACTTTCTACACATACTCTTCTCTCCTACATGCTTAAACTTTCTTACCTTTCCTTCTACCTTCTTATCCCTCTGAGGGACTTTGATTAAAATCCATTTAAAACTGCACATAGTCCAGCTGCAGCCTTGGGATGCTACCTGGCTGCAAAGGGCATCAAGTTACACAGGACACTCACTCACACCACACAGACACAAACACAGAAACAGATACAGACAGAAAATGACAGGGAGAATCCAAAAGCTCGGAGAGAATTGTTAGAAATCCTCTGCACAATTTAGGCATCGCCAGCCCAAACTAAGCAGCGATATTTCATCAGGTTTCTTTTCTCTTGTCTTTCCCTTTATATTTTGATGACTCGTTCCAATTCTGGAGTCTACTCCCAGGAGGGCTATCTTCTGGAACGCTAGGAAAATTCTCTCTGCTAGCTGTTTTGGACTGTTCTTTTCCCATGTTTAACAAGTTCTTGTCCTTCCCCAAGGACTCACTCGATGTGGAGGCACAGGTACCAAGACCTTCCCCCCCCTCCCTGGTCACCCAGATGCTCACCAGATCTTGCTCCAAAAAGTATCTCAGGGCTCCCTGGATCTTTCGTCTGGGTTATGTGCGCACAACTTATGTGATCGTCCAAAACTCAGTTCTCTCTCTTCTCTCTGTCTACTGTCTTTGCTAGCACCGTTGGAACTCTGTTTGCTTTTGTTTCTGCTTGCAGGTATCTGTCTTTCTTCGGGTCCATTCCTTAAAAGGGAAAGGAAACTCCCAAACCACTCCACAGACTACTGGTAAGTGGCCAGTGGGGGCCTGTCCTAGGACTGGCTGGGAGGCCCTTTCCCAAGTAAAGGGGATCCCAGAGAGCCCCCAACTGTGTGGGACAGAGACCACCCACTCAAAATAAAAACAAAGACTTGAAAGATACCTTGAAAGCAGAAAGGAGTTTATTGCTTTCTCATGAGAAAGGGTACCGCCACTAGTCACCATTGCCAGCCAGGAGAGTATGAGTTGGGAGCTGTACCCTGGGCTTTTTATCCCCTAACGCGATGCCCCCTCTCACTCTCTTACCCCTTTCTCCTTTGACTGGGTACTCAGGGTGTACATTCTAAAAGTAGCAACTAATACCCAATAGAAGCAAATATGCCCGTGTTTGGACTAGATGCACATGTGCACTAGGAGCTAGGAGCAACCAGGCAACCAAGCTCCCCCACCCATGCTGACCTGGTGCTGGAGAAATAGAAACTTTTGGGGAAAATGCAAACTGAACTCAAGGCTTTCAGGAGGAAGGAAACTTAGGCCTGTGGGAACTGCACTGCAGGCCATCTCTCACACTCAGGTAGAGTGCAGGAGAGAGCTAGGAGTGTAGCAGGGAGATACTAATGAGGGAACTTCACTGTGAGCCATCCCTCACATCCTCAGGGGACTTCACTTCTCTCCATGTGTTATGGACCTCTCTGCTTAGACTCTGGGAAACCTAGTTACCCAGAGGGTTGCCGGTCTGGGCTTGCGACACCTTACGGGCATCCCCGCTGGGTTCCAAGCCTTCCCAGACCTGGGTCTGTGCCCACAGACTTACATGACTGAAAATTTCCTTCACTTCACATGGGTGGCCATGGTGGTCTTCTAGTTACCAGTGCTGCAGAACTTTCATTTTGCTATTCTGAGATTTCCCTTCGGGCTTTTCCCTCCTCAGCTGAGACCTGGAGGCCACCAGTAAAGTCTGGCATCGCCTGCCCCTGAATTAAGGGAGTCCCCAAAAAGGGGGTGAAATCCCGGAGGATTTCCCACAACTATGTGGGACGTGAAGACCCTTACCAATAAATTCTGGAGACTCAGATGTAGCAAAGAGAAAGATTTCTTTATTAGCTTTCTCAAGAAAGGGCACCCTCCCTCTGCCTAAAATGGCTCTGGTGGAAGAGTGCAAGAGTGTGCTTAGCAAGAAAGATTATAGAGACCCCTAACCCCACTCCCCCTTCCTCTCAGCCCACTGATGCAAGCCTTGAAGACACAATCTATTTGAGGAAATCTACCCAGCAACAGAGAACAGAAACCAGTTTCACAGACTTGCCTGGAGACAAGGAAAGGCTGGAAGTTTCCCAAGAGCAAGCAGTTCAGGTTGGGGGAAGGGGTTATTTTTGTTTGCTCAGAAACAGGGTCTGAGCGGGGGAGGGTTTTGAAAGCAATATAGGGACTTATTAACAAGAACTATTGACCCTCCGAGGAGGCTTCACTTCTGAGAGGTCATGTCACATCCCAATTTGTTTCAAGCTGTAATGTGTGTGTATTCATATCTTTTTGTTGTATTCAGCATGTGGAGCTGAGTACATTAAAAAAACATATAGATATAGATATAGATATAGATATAGATATAGATATAGATATAGATATAGATATAGATATAGAAATAGATATAGATATGTATGTATGTAGTGTGTATACAAATATATGTATGTATACTTTTTTTAAAGATGTTACTGAGAATAATGAATATCGTGTGCAAAAAGTCATCAGTAGTCTCAGTGAATCACCCACTCTTACCCTTCACTCACTATACAGTGCTAGAATCATCTCTGTTGCATTCGTCTTGCAAATTCCTTAGGCTAAGGACAGTATTACATTAATAGTCATTAGGATAATATAGCATTCTTCTAGGATATAGTAGGGATGTATTAGAACCTATGGGCTTGAGCTAGGCTTTGATTGAAGGTTGGAGAGGAGATGATTTGGACAGGGTAGGACAAAGTGGTATGTGGCAATGAGGGTTGGGGGCATTTGGGGGCACTGGCCACCTCACCCCCACCCCCAGGAGAATGCTGAAAAGGAAAATGGAGGACACTAAAAATGTAGATTGCTGAATTACAGCACCAAATTTCCTAGGGATACCTGGCCTGTTAAATCCATTCTTTTGCCCTCTTCAGGGTCAGTCCCAGTAAAGACAAACAAAGTTAAATATTTCACCATTTTACCTCAATCAAGTATAACCATGTTGAATAACACTCAGAGCAAAGAATCTTTCTTGGAATGATCCCAAAGAGACCAGCACACACTGAGTTATAATGGAAAGCCCAGTTGGAACAATCCTATACTGAATTACATGTGGGTGCTGACACATGGATACATTTTAAACAGGGATGAGCCCATGCTAAGTTGTGAAGGATATAAAGCTTGTCTTCAAGAACTCTCACGTTTTTGACGTTTCCCCTCACCTACATTTTTTGTCACCTTCCTTCCTCTTGAAGGGGATGCCTCGTGGCTCTCTACCACCTAAGGGATTGTCATTAAGCTTCTCACTCAAGTGTGCCCTCCTAGACACAATCCCTGTTTATGTATTATGCAATCCCCAGATTGAATTATACATTTGTCCCTTCTCATCCAGGAAATTTTGCAAGACTGGCAGATTTTGTTCTTAGGAACTGATCACTTTGAACAAAGATATAAATGACTGATGTCACTTCTTTCAGATATCACTTGTTTTAGCTGTAGAGGCCTATCCTCACTTAAAAGGCACCTTTTGTTCTGGCCAGAAATTCTGAAGGTCTTCCACCTTCATATGCATTCTTTTGTGAAGGCACAGTAGGCCATCTTTTGCCTCATTGCTTACCAAACTTAATCACTGAATGGGTGGTGCCTCAGAGAAACTAAAACTTGGGAAGGATCTTAGCTTAGAAAGGTCAAGGTCTTTTACTCCATCTGGTGCTGCCTCCAGTGATCCTGACCTATGTGTTGCTCAGAACTCTGATGACTGTGGTGCAGAGGGTTGGGCTGATGACTTTGCACAGCTCTGTCTTCCTTAAATCCAATTCACTTGCACATCAAAATATCACCCCCCAAATCAGCGGTCCTCTTCTAGAATGAAGGATGAACAAAAATCAATGCCTATAACCAAATTGTATAGGTTAATGTAATAATTCATACATATATATGTATATATATATATATATGAAATTCATGTGTTATTTATATATTCTAATATATGCACCACTAGGTGGCTATATATACATATGTACATATATAAGTACATAGGTAAATATATATATATATACACATATATATGTTCATAGGTACATATATATATATATACACACACATACATATATACACACTTATGTATGTATAAATACAAGGTACTGCAACAGTTACAATCTAAACACTGTATTTTTGTCATCTTTTTAGAAGATGCTTTTTAGAAGCAAAACCCACCTTCTTGGCTCCAAGCAGGCCAGGTTGCACAGTTCCATTGAGGGAGCTCCTAGGAGAACTTGCTAAATAGCAAGAAAGAGATTGCAGTGGAACCTTTCTGAGGAAATTTTGTGGACTCTACATGGACCTTGTGGCTTCCTTCCCATTGACATATATATTGTCTCCATGCAGAACCAGCTGTATCATCCAGAGCATCCTTCCTGTTATGTCTGGAATGGAAGATGAATTTTCAAACCAACCAGACACAAGAAAGTCTGTTACTAACCAAAGAAAAGGGCTATGTCAGATACTAATTGGAAAAATTAGGCCTTTCTTTTCACATTCATCTAGGCATAACAGTGCAGTGGTGGATCAGGTACTCTGAATTTTTTTCCATCTACTTTTCACACTCTTATAATGTATGCCACCGTGCAAACTTGCTTGGGGTTTTAGCATATGCTGTCAATGAAAAAGAAAAAAAAATTCTTTCGGATGTCTATCTCCCCATAATTAATGCGGCTATAGTCAGTTAATACTGATTCATTAAAGTCATGAATATATTTCATGACTCATATTCCAAACAGAATGGTCTAGAACTCATTAACAAAATGTCCCCTTTGACAAGAAGCAAGGAAAAAGGGAGAAAAATGCTGAAAATGTTAACTCTACTCCTCACCCTCTTAAGAGAAAGGTCAGTGACCATTGTACTCTATGGTTACTAGTAAATCAGAGAAACTGTACGTACATGTTCATTTATAAAAAAATATAAGTCAATGTAAATTGTTCTAATTCTTTTATATAATCTAGGATTGTACTAGAAGAAGGATCATCCAGTATTAGTCCAAGCCACCAGGAAGAGATAACACACAGCTTTTATTCCCTATGCCTTGAAAAAGGATTAGATTAAGATTCAAGAAGATTGAGGTTTAAATCCTGGCACTGTTAAGAACTTCCTGTGTGACTTTGAATGTTTGCTTGAAAAACAGATAATTTAGGAGAGATATTTTTAGCTAATTTAAATATTTAAAGGATTGTCATCAGAAACTGGTGTCCTACTTAATGCCAAAGGGAAGAATTAGGAAGCCACAAGGTGACATATTCTGATCTAGTACAAAGAGAAACTTCATGACAATTAGAACTTTCAAAAGAAGAATGGGCTACCTTTGAGGTAGTGAGCTCCCTGTCACTAGAAATCTTCAGGCAAAGTGTAGATGATCCCTTGACAACATTATTGTTGAAGGCATTCATGCGTGAGATAGGAATTTGATTTAATCCTCTCTTAGCTCCTCAATAATTCAAAGTTTTTGAATGATTCTTCATTTGGAGGCGTCATAATACAGAGGAAAGTATACTACTCAGTCTTAGTCTTAGGAGACCCAGTTTAGAATCCCAGTTCTGCTACTGTGTGACTTTTTCTTTGTCCACAAAATGGTGATCTCTAAATTCCCAAAAGTTCCACTTTTCAGGTCATTTGTTCAGTGTTATACATGAAACATTTTTCTCTTTTCTCTTTCCTTCTCTCTGTCTCTTTCTTCCCTTCTTTCTCTCCCTCTCTTCTCTCTGCTCTTATTGATATAAAAACCAGCTATTAACAGAGGGAAGGCACTAGAATTAAGAACTTACAGGAATGCCTTATTGAAGGTGGGATTTTAGGTAGAACTTTAAGGAAGCCAGGAAAACAAGAAATGGCTATGAAGAGGGAGAGGATTCACTGGTACAACCAGCGAAAATGCGTAGAATTGAGAGGTAGAGTTTCTGCTTTGAGGAACAATAAAGAGGCCAACGTCTTAGGAACTCAGAGTACAGGGAGAGCCTTCCACATTTCCTTCCTTCCTTCCTTCCTTCCTTCCTTCCTTCCTTCCTTCCTTCCTTCCTTCCTCCTTCCTTCCTTCCTTCCCTCCTTCCTTCCTTCCTTCCTTCCTCCTTTCTTCTTCCTTCCTTTTTTCCTCCCTTCCTTCTATTCCTTCTCTCTCTCTCTCTCCCTCTTTCTCTCTCTCTTACTCTCTGTCTCTCTCTCTCTCTCTCTCTCTCTCTCTCTCTGAAATAAATTTTCATGGTCCTTGTACCCCAATAGGTCTGTCTAGATAGGCACACTCACTTTCCTGTCAACTTAAGATAACCAGCATTTATTAAATGCCAGGTATGTGTCAGTCACTGTGCTAAGCATGGGGGATTCAAAGAAAGGGAAAAGACAGTCCTCTGCCCTCAAGGAGCTCCCAGTTCTAATGGAGGAGGAAACAAGCAAACAACTATGTATACACAAGAATAACGTTTCATCTCGTTTCTCAAAAAGGAGGTAAAGACCCTTTGCTGACAGTCATGGTAGCACTGTTTATTGGGGACCATTAATATGTCTAAGGACTAATGCTAGATTAGTAGGGAAGAATCTTGGTGTTACTTGTTACCCATTTGAGTGACTGCAGTGGGGTGGTCTTTTTTAGTTCTATCCATAAGGCTGGTGGTAAAGGCTCATGCACATAGGCTGCAATTTCTCTTTTCAGTTTCCTTTTGATTCACCCCTTGAAGCAATTTCCTCTATACCCCATGTGCCTTTCAAAAGAACGGCCAACCCAGTTCATAAGGACCATGCAGGACAGCTGGGGAAAGGCAAGAAGACTCTTCAGACAGAGGTGTGTGGATCGTTTACAAACAGAGTTTTTAGGGGAAATTCTTGCTCAGTAAATGTGACAGAAAAATATGCTGATTAGTGGGTATCCCGGAACATGTTACCCATTTTTTTTTTACTATACAGCTGGCAGTGTACATTCTGACCATGGTTTCAATAAGATCCAAATCTCTCTCCTCCAAGAAGAAGCTTAGGGTTTTGTGAATGGTAAAGTGGCATTCAGGTAGACTGCCATACACTAGAAAATGAGCAAACTACTTCTTGGCAGGCATGGACCAAATACAACCAACCAATGATTATATGAGGCTTTAATTTTCTTTTAAGTTGTCCCCAAAGCTATGAAAGTGTAAAACTGCATCAAGACTTTTGGGACACCCTGTATGGAACACTATGTAACTCTGCTACAACTTTGTACAGTAGATAACATCACCTACTTTGACATATTAGGAAACTGAGTCTCAGAGAGGTTTCAGTGACTTGCCCATGATCTCACATTGGTTTGTGTTAGAACTCACCTTTCTGACTCCATACCCAAGACTCGTCTGTGGTAACAAGCTGTCTCTCCTCACCAGTTTGAGCAAAGTAAACAATGAATGTGAGGTAGTTAGATGAGCTCTTCTCTCCCCAATTCCCCCTGGAAAGGATGAACTCTCACTTTCAAATGTCAACTGTATATCAAACATCTACTTGCGTCTCTGAATGCTTTATCATGGAAAACAGTGATATCAACAAATGGAAAAACAGCAACAAGAAAGCATTGTGCCTCTTGTTCCCTGTTGTATAAAGATCCAGGCTGATACATACATTAGTGTCCATTTATACTGTTGGGCCATTTCGTAGTGCCAAGACCTTTGGTGGGGAGAACTTTCTTGTCTGGCTCTTAAGCAAGTGTGATTACTGAAGAGATGGGGCTTTAGTACCTGGAGAAGTAGTGGACAGGTCCCATCTCCTTCCTGGGTTGGTATCTGGGATGATGGCTTCAGAGGCTGGGCTTGGAAGTCGGCCAGGTTGGTCTAGAGAGTTTTTTTCACTCTATGGGTTCTGGCCTGACTGGTCCCTTAGTGGCAGTTGGTGAGCTGGTGGTGGTGGTGAGGAAGGTGGCCCCTTCCTCTACAATGATGGCTCCTCTCATTTCTGGCTTCAGGACCTGTGCTAAAGCAGGATCAGTGTTCTAGGAGACAGTGATATTCCTAGGGCCCTTGGGTTCAGCATCCTTGGCTATTTTCATCAGAGTCTCATGGGAGGTTGTGTTGGAAGTTCTGGGGTGACTTGATTCCCCTGGCACATACCACCTTCTACCTCTCTCTCCAGGTGCCTTCCTGCTTTAGTTATACTGGCTTGCTTGCCTTGGAAGTGTCAGTTGGTTGGCACTTGGTGGAGACGACTTGTCCCATCTTGATAGAAGCTGCTTCCCTGGATGATGGGGGACTTGAGGATTTCCAGCCAGTTTACAAATCTTTTAAGTTCTATGTGTGCAACACCTTTTTCACATACCCATTCCTCTACTGTATAGTTCCACCACCATGACATCAGGGAGGTGAGGCCATATGTCACTGTGATCTTTGAGAATGGACGACAAACAACACTATTTCCACTACATCCTTTCTGATGCAGACTTCAATTATCACCTGCCTAGAGAAGTAGAGTATTTTCTGACAGGTCCTCTGTTCTCAGTTATGTTCCCTTCCAATCTCTCATTCATACATCTGCCAGATATCTTCTTTGGCCCATAGATCTGCTCATTCCACACTTCTCAAAAACCATCAGCATCTTCCTATTGCATACCAAGTGAAGGTGAGACTCCTTTCCTTAGGCTTTCGTCTTTTCCAAGCCTTTAAGGTCCTCAGTTATCTGGCACCACACTCAGTTTTCAGTCTTACCATATGCAACTTCTCTCCATGTACGCTGTATGAAATCCTGGATAGCCCATTTGTGCCAGAAGCAGGCAAAAGCTGGGTATGGAGAGCAAAGGAGGAAATCAAGATAGACATCATTGGGAGATCAGTATTCTTAATGATTCTAACTTCCTCAATACTGCAAAAACTCATCTTTTCACACTAGTATTCTTGCCAGTGATGCTCTATGGCCATAGGCCATGGCAGACAGCAATCTTGGAAAAACCAAAATGGCAGGAATCCCAAAGAACGAAGGAAATATATGTGGTGAATGTAAGTTCTGTCCTCTGTAATGTATTACTAACAAGGGCTTGGCTGCATGATGTACCAGGAGAGACACCATTTCATGTACAGAGCACGGAAAGGAGGTAGGTTAGTCATGTGATGAGAACCAGGCATAACAAACATGGACGACTCAAGTGCTACACTAGTAAGCATGAAATATTAAATTTCAATTCATCATACATTTATTGAGCGCTTACTGGGTGCCAAGTATTGTGTAGGTGCTGGAGATACAAAGGGAAAAATAAGAATCTCCCTGTCCTCAAAGCACTTATGTTCTATTGCAGTATACAATGTGTACATCGTTAAGGAATATTAAGGGTTGCCTTAGCTTGTCTTTTTGAGTTGCCATATTTTCCAAAAGCACTGGACCCAGAGCATGCAGGAGGCCTTGACAGTGTCAAGGATGAAGGCCCAGTGCATATAGCTGTAGCTGCCCACTGGGCAGTTGGCAAAAGGACTGGAGTTGAGTATGACGCCTTTAGAACTGACCTTTACTTCAATGGGGTTCCCTGTCTATAACAGATCATAAATGTGGGCAATGTGCATTTTTTATTCACTTTGTTTTCCCATTGTTTATTGGTAAATTGTTATTATAAGCCAAGTAAAAGGCTGTGCCTGTTGCCTAAGAACCAGTCGACTTCAGTAAAAAGACCTTCATCAGTAGAAAATGATACACTTTTTGACCATAGCAACCCATTAAACAGATAAAGGTACAAAATGGCCTTTATCACTTTGTAAGACCCCTTCTATATCTCACTGATGATAGCAGAATGTGATATGAATGTTATCCCATGGAAAATAGAAGCAACAGATTACAAAAGCATGTCATGGCCTTTAAAGAATAGTGTTCTTTGCTGTTGTGGAGTCCTTTCGGTCATGTCTGACTCTCTGAGATCCCAGAGGAATTTTCTTGGGCAAAGTTCCTGGAGTGGTTTGCCATTTCCTTCTCTAGCTCATTTTGCCCATGAGAAAACTAAGGCAAACAGGCTTAAGTGACTTACCCAAGGTCACATAGCTAGGAAGTAGCTGAGGTCAAATTGGAACTCAGACCCTCCTGACTCCAAGCCTGGCACTCTATCTGCTTTACCACTTAGGTGCCCAAAAGAATAATGTAAGGAGTGCTAAAAGCAAGATTGAGCTAAAGGACAAGGAAGTTAGGGACAGAAAAAAACAAAGTCAAAACTTTTTAAAGTTATGCTGGGGAAAGAGGAGGACCAAAGCAGGAATAAGAAAGTCGTGTGGGTTGGAGGAGACAATGATAATAAAGAAAAGGGAGAAGATTTTCTGAGACAGAGGATTGTCTCTGGACTCACAGAGCCTGGTTTTTTATCCAAGAGTGTGTGTGCTGGTAAATGTTTAACAATCAGCTCTTCCCACCCAAAAAATATTCTCCCAGTGTACTTTTAAATGCAATCTCGATGATTAAAACGAGATCCATCATTTCTTAAGTGTGGACAATCAACAACACAATCAAGCCCTGATTTAGAGCATTCACTGATTTCCAAATCGTAAATGCCCACACTGGAAATTTAGCAGTGGGATCTTACAAGCTCCAGCACATTCCTGATTCCTATCCCACCTCTGCCACTTACTAATTAGAGGAGCTTGGGCAAGTCACTTACCATTTCTGGGACTTGTTTGTAAAAAAAAAAAAGGAGGGCTTGGCCTTTAAGGACCCTTCTACTTCTATGACCCTGCTGGATTTTTATTTTGCTTCTTGGAGGATAACCCTTTGCTGGAAGAGACCAAGAGTGTCTATTAAGGAGTGAAACCAGAGATGATAAATAGGAGGAGTACATACAGTTGTCTTTGAGGAGTTCACGGCACTAAGTCCAGACATGCTACATCCCAGGGTTCTGAAAAATGTGACCAATGTGACTGTTCAGCCATTGTCAGGAATGGGATTGTAGCCTGGGTGGATGGATCAATGATAATGAAGAAGAAAAGGATGGGAGAAGTTTCTTTGGCACTCAGGAAAGAACACTGGCTCTGGAGGTAGAGGACCTGGGTTCAAATTCACTCACATGCCCTTATTATTCCCCATGTGATCTTTGGCAAGTCACTCCACCACCTTTGGCCTTAAAGTTAGGGAGTAGGGGTCAAATGATCCCTGATATTTCCTCTACCAGTTGATCTATGATCTTTTGAATGATCATAGAGAATGAGAAAGAAACTCCAGCACTAGAGAACAAAGCAGATTACAAGGAATTTTAATCAACCAAACAAAGAAAAAAAGCATTTTCTTGTCTACCATTTGCTAGGTGTTGGGGATAAGACAAAAAAAAACAAACAAACAAAAAAACAAACAGTACCTGCCCTCAAGCAGTTTATATTCTGTTAGAGGAAATGGTATGTACATTGATTAGGTGAATACAAGGTAATTTTGAGGTGGGAGAAAAATTAATCCCCCAGGAATCAGGAAAAGACTCATGTAGGAGGAGAAAATGGAGCTCAGTTTTGAAGGAAGCTAGACTTTCTAGGATCACCAGATGAAGATCATTCAATGCAACAAGAACAGTCTTAGCAGAGGTACAGAGATGGTAGAGGAAATGTGGGATGTGAGCATCAGCAGGCAGGCCAGACTGGCTGGAACATAGAGTGCTTGAAGGGGATGTGTAGTGAGCCTGGAAAGTTAGGCTGGAGCCAGATTGTAAAGATTCCTGTAAATGCCAGACACAGAAGTTTGTACTTTAACTTAGAAGCAAGAGAAGCAATGAGGGTGGGGAGGCAGGAAGAAAAGGAGCATTTATTAAGCACCACCTATGTCCCAGGTACTAAAGAGTTTATCTCCTTTGCTTCTCACATGAAACTTGGGAGGTAGGTGCTATCATTATCCCCACATTTTAGTTGAGAAAACTAAGGCAGATGGAAGTTAATTGACTTGCCCAACATCACACAGCTAGTAAGTGGGGTTTCCTGCTTCCATGCCCAGCCTTCTGTCCACTGGTTCTAGACAAGGGGCTGGGAGAGTTCACTTGGAGTGTGGCTGTTGGCAGGCAGGAATCGTACTGAATTCCAAAAGTTAACTCTCCCTTTCATTAGTTAGTTGCTGTGCTTTTCAATACCCATGCATGTAATATTGGTGTTATGTTGTCATTTGTGAAGCCATGAAAGAGGAAATGATTTTCCTCCCTATTTCTCTTAATGGTTTCAACTTTGAATTGTTTCCCCTTCCCTCAAGGTCATTTGTTTTATCATATCATAGAGTATTATATTTACTCAATATCATAGAATATTATACAGCAATGTAGCTTGTCTGCCCTCCCCATGACCCCAGACTCACTGTCCCAACTCCCGCACACGTTGGTTGGACAGAGGTTCCCAGAGGGAGGCCGACTTCTTCTCTGCTAGGGTCCTAGGGGTGACCTTGAGGAACTGGGGTGGTTTTGTAGTACTATTGCCTCATTCGATGTGCTCCCCCCAGCAATTATCAATGAGCCAGCCAGAGTTAATTGGATTGTAGAAAAAGGTACCTAAGGATGCGGTATACAGCGAGACTAGTTTTCATAAAACCACCCTTCCACGAAAGTCTGGGACACACTTTCACACAAGTCCATACAAAAGCCAGGGTTCAGTGGGCTCCAACTCAGATAGTACAAGTGACCAAGGGCTGACACACAGTGCCTGGTGTCTTTTCTCCCTTTGTGCATCCTCACGAAGCTCCCCTTTGGGGGGTTTTGGTCTCTGCTGGGCTCTCAGGGTCAGTGCCCTTGTGGGGTCTACTTTGTCTTGCTCCTGGTGCAGATGCAGCCATCAGCCTCTATTACTCTGGGGATGGCTACCAACAGCCAGTAAGAAGTTAAGCCAACTCCTGCAAACTTTTGAAGCTCACAAGGGTATTCTCTGGTCAAGGGGAGGGAGAGAAGACATAGACTCTCTCCTCTTTTCCCCATCTCACCTTCCCCCTCTGCCCCCAAGGGATTCCCTCCCAGGGTTCAGCTGGATCCTTTTGACCACCAGGCTGGCCTGATACTGGAATCTGCATTATCTGGTTATGTTATCCCAACCCCAGAGAGGTGACTGGTTCTCTTCAGCAACTGTGAGATATTTCCTGTCTGCTACTGATGTCAATGAG